CCCAATTGACCTGGACTGTGGGTTCTTCCAGAGGGGAAGGTCTCTGGGCTGTTCCCCAACCCACATGGTGAATCTCTGAGGCAAGAAAATCCGCCAATAAGTGCAGGACCCACCAGGATAGAGGAGGAACTTTGTCACAGTATCTATTGGGCCTCCTATAACTTTTGAAGCTGTATCTGTTGCATGGGATGCATTTTTCTACAAGATCACACTATTGTGGAATTTGCAGAGATGCCAGATGTCTGAAATCTATTCTTGTTGGAATCCCTAGTTTGACCCAAAACAACAAAGGTTCAACTATTTTATTTCAAGTTTTGCTAAGAAAACAAAAACGGGGGGTGATCTTATTTCAGAAAATCACAGCTTCAAAGACTTCACTTTTTTTTGTCAGCTAGCACTTCAGAAAACCTACTATAGTTTCTAAATAATTGATGTAAAGTCATATGTTTTACTTAATTGTGTTTCTGAATTTTTTTCTTTGAGTTGTCATTGGAACATCTTGCCACTGTCCATCTGATCAAAACAATTAATCTTTCTGAAATTACTCCTCAGACAGGAATGAGGTCCAGCAGAGAATGAACAATGTATGCATGCAGTCATGTGAAGCTCAGCAGTGCCCTTGGGCCTTAGCAATTTACAGCAGCTAACTTCCTGTAAATTTTAGGGACACTTTTTTATCAGGGTCTGTAGGTGCATAGCTTGTACTATTTTTGTGTAAGATAAATCTGGGTATACACTTGCACAGGTACAGGGTTCATTGGTGTTTTGTTGGTTAGAGACTTTAGCAGCCTACTAGCTGGAGTTCACAAGTTATAATAAAATGACATTAAATTGACATTGATACCTTTACATGACTTGTGTATCTTTATCACTTCATATTTATGGAATTTCTTTGCAAACTATTTATAATTTTTTGCATGATTTTCTGTGCTGCTGGCATTCGTACGTTTGAAGGCCAGAAGGGACCATTGTGACCCTCTTGTCTGACCTCCTGTTGACACAGGCCATAGAACTTCCCCAAAATAATTCCTAGAGCATAGTTTTTAGAAGAATGCTAATGATAGGTTTATGATAACATTTTGTTAATTAATTTTTAAATGCAGACAGTTGTTGACTTGTCAAAGTGATTACAATACACAAGGAGGTACAATAAATGAAAGTATTACCAGAAGACATTTAGATGTATATATAGTCTAATATGGTGTGAGAGAACCTTTGCACTAGCAAACCCTTTTTTCCCCTTTTTCCCCTTGTATCAGTTATTTTTATACTACTGTCAACTGTTTACACTGAATATAGCATGGACATGTCTACTAATTTAGTGCACGGCAAGCTGTGGTGTGAACGTACAGCGCTGTAGCTTGCTGTGCACTGAAGTGGTTGTGTTGCCTTGCTTCCATGTAATAAAAGTTCCATGTGCACATTATGGAACTTTTAGTGTATGGTGGCAGGATCCGCATGGCCATTTAGTGCATGGCAAACTAGAACGCTGTAGATTCACACTTCAGTTTGCCGAGCACTAAGTCTCCATTCAGCCAGCCCCTTACTGCTTATGATGCCTTGGGTGACCAAAGACGTTGTCAGTTGAACATTGACAGCAAGTGAATACTTGGATACTGCACTTCACCATTTACTGTAATCTGCCATATTAGGTACAATTATCTGGGACTGCTAAAAATTTCTGTGAAAACAAACACTCCTGGTAATTTTTTTTATGTCCAAGTTGGGCTTACATGAGCAGATTTTAAAAAAAACCAACACTTCACTGTATGCACATAAATGTTTCCTTTTTATTGTTTGACAAATCTTCTGGATTAGTGGTAATTATAGGACAACATTGGTCTGCTGTCAGACAATCTGATGCCAGTGATGGGTGAAGTGTAAGAACCTGAATAGAATAAAATAGAATCAGGGATACTGGCCTTCTCTTGCAAGTCAGGTGAGGGTTAAGGTATTTCACTCAAAATTTCATACCCTCTGCTTTTCATAACTAGCCTTTGCTAATAATGAACGTGCCTAATTTATATGCACAATTATTTAATCCTGGTTTTTGTTTTTAGGATATAGTATTGATGCAATAAAAGCGTAGTTTGTTAGTGTGCGGCCTGAAACACAGATTGTTCTTTAGTATTTTAGTAACATTAAGGTGCTTTTTTTAAAAATTCATAAATCAAGCTTTCTAAACATTTTACAAGTGTATCTAAATAAAGCTGTTATAAAGGTGACAGTGAAGGACAAAATAATATAGTTAATTATAAAACCTCATGAGGTTAACACAAAGTATTTTTACATACTTCTTTAGGTTTGTTTTCCAGGATATACATATTTTTATGAAAAAAGCAAATCAGGAATTATATTTACAGTAACATGTATTGGTTCAAATAACAAATCTGTGACATAATTGCAAAAATATTTCATCTAATTTGTGATGTTAGAAACTGAGTGAAAAGATGACTTGTGGCTTTTTTTTTTTTTTTTTTTTTTTTTTTTTTTTTTTTTTTTTTTTTATATTTTTTTTTTTTTTTTTTTTTTTTTTTTTTTTTTTTGGTATGTCATATGATTTGAAGAAGTATTGGATTAGAATAGTACTGAAGATATAGAAAGCCAGTATAAAATATTGTGTCAAGAGGCTGACTGTGGTGTAAAGTCACTTTCAAATGTGTAGAAGTAAAAATCAATAACTTGAAAGTTGCGCTATTTTTCTGTGTGCTAATAACAGTATTCTCTCTTTCTAGCTTTCTATAATTATGATGCAAGGGGAGCAGATGAACTTTCCTTACAAATAGGTGACACCGTACATATATTAGAAACATATGAAGGTAAGTAAAACACATATTTGATTCAAAACCATTGTTCATACAGTCACGCTGCTCTTGTGTGTGTGATTATAACATATCATTCTATTTTAGCAGATGGTGAACTACTATTTTTTTCATGATTAATAAAATGTTGTATTGGGGACAGAATTAACAAGTGCTACATGTAAATGAAGAGGCAGGTGATAAAATACCTAATGAATATCTTTTTCTGAATGCACAATTTCTTTTTCTATGCAAGATAAATGTTCTCTCACCCTTAATTTGTATGGATCAATGGTAACATCTGTTGAGTGGTTAGCGAAATGATAGATGTTCTCTAGATATCCTCAGATAATGCACAAGACCTGTCTGCTTCTTAATGGTGTTAATTTGAATTTGAAAGTTATTTACCCTCTAAATTATTCATATCTCTTTGTAAAATAGATACATTTGCTACTGTGCTACTTATTCAGTCAACATTTAAAAATAAATAAAATGTGGTATATTAATTTTGATGAGAACTAGTAGCAATATTGCATAGAACATAAATTTCAGTTAGTACTTCTCCCTGATTCCCATAAAATAGTAATTTATCTTGAAAAATATTTAATTTGAGAATGAGGGAAAATTCTTAGTTTTGCTGCTGTTGAGTGATCAAATAGCAATGATTAAGTACAACCTTCTTTTTTTTGGGTCACATATCCTTGATTTCTCATTCATTCAGTCAGTTGTATGATGTGTCTTAGAAGAGAAGCAGTGATCTAGATGGCTTTTGTGTTAGAAAATTAGAAATCATCACAGTAATAGGATAACTTTCTGTATTTTGGATATGTGATTTGCCTTTGTACATGGGTTTAAAATTTCCGCTTGTCACTGCCAAAGAATCTGTTAGGGAAGAAAAATTAATACTGGTGGTAAGTTTGTTTTAGAAATTGGATTCAAGGTGATTTTTATTATGTAGATCTAGTAAAATAGGAAAGTTGCTAATTAGATCAACTAACCTTAATTTGGCTAACATATACAATGAATATACTAACTGTTCATCAGCTAGCAATTTGTTAATGAATTCAGTTTGCACTAGCAGTAAATGACCCCTGATACTGTCAAAGCTGCAGAGAGGGAATCTGTCCACTGAAAATTAATCTGCATACTCTGTACTTTAAATATTTGCAGTTTTATTATACATTTCTTTTAAATACACATGTAAACAGGAATATTTGAATGCTGTACAATTATACATAATTATAATACATAGTGCCCATCTTTAAAAAGGGAAATAAGGACAACGCGGGGAATTACAGACCAGTCAGCTTAACTTCTGTACCCGGAAAGATAATGGAGCAAATAATTAAGCAATCAATTTGCAAACACCTAGAAGCTAATAAGGTGATAAGTAACAGTCAGCATGGATTTGTCAAGAACAAATCGTGTCAAACCAACCTTTCTTTGACAGGGTAACAAGCCTTGTGGATAGGGGGGAAGCGGTAGATGTGTTATATCTTGACTTTAGTAAGGCTTTTGATACTGTCTCACATGACCTTCTCCTAAACAAACTAGGGAAATACAACCTAGATGGAGCTACTATAAGGTGGGTGCATAACTGGTTGGAAAATCATTCCCAGAGAATAGTTATCAGTGGTTCACAAGCATGCTAGAAGGGCATAATGAGTGGGGTCCCACAGGGATCGGTTCTGGGTCCGGTTCTGTTCAATATCTTCATCAGTGAATTTAGATAATGCCACAGAGAGTACACTTATAAAGTTTGTGGACGATACCAAGCTGGGAGGAGTTGCAAGTGCTTTGGAGGATGGAATTAAAATTCAAAATGATCTGGACAAACTGGAGAAATGGTCTGAAGTAAATAGGATGAAATTCAATAAGGACAAATGCAAAGTACTCCACTTAGGAAGGAACAATCAGTTGCACACAGACAAAATGGGAAATGACTGCCTAGGAAGGAGTACTGCGGAAAGGGATCTGGGGGGTCATAGTGGATCACAAGCCAAATATGAGTCAACAGTATAACGCTGTTGCAAAAAAAGCAAACACCATTCTAGGATGTATTAGCAGCAGTATTGTAAGCAAGACACAAGAAGTAATTCTTCCGCTATACTCCGTGCTGATGAGGCCTCAACTGGAGTATTGTGTCCAGCTGTAGGTGCCACATTTCAGGAAAGATGTGGACAAATTGGAGAGAGTCCAGAGAAGAGGAACAAAAATGATTAAAGGTCTAGAAAACATGACCTATGAGGGAAGATTGAAAAATTGGTTTGTTTTGTCTGGAGAAGAGAAAACTGAGAGGGGACATGATAACAGTTTTCAAGTACATAAAAGGTTGTTACAAGGAGGAGGGAGAAAAATTGTTCTTAACCTCTGAGGATAGGACGAGAAGCAATGGGCTTAAATTGTAGCAAGGGCGGTTTAGGTTGGACATTAGGAAAAACTTCGTAACTGTCAGAGTGGTTAAGCGCTATAGTAAATTGCCTAGGGAGGTGGTGGAATCTCCATCATTGGGGATTTTTAAGAGCAGGTTGGACAAACACCTGTCAGGGATGGTCTAGATAATACTTAGTCCTGCCTTGAGTGCAGGGGACTGGACTAGATGACCTCTCGAGGTCCCCTCCAGTTCTATGATTTTATGATTTCTATGATAATGGATGCATTTTCCTAATATGTGAATAACACTGATGCTTGGACAGCATGTTTAAAGCTTGCCTGTGACACAGGTAGCATCTGTCTATCATAGCTGTGTAAAATTTTATACTTTTTGAACCCCCTGCATGCTTCAGATGAAATGGGACAAGTGAGATGACTCACTTTTCCCTAGACCGGATAATAGAATGACCTTCACACACACATCTAATGGTTATTAGGCCTCAACAGTGCTGGCTGGGTTTATTTAAAAAGAAGTTCAAATAAAATAATGTTCCTCCAAAGGCTGATCTGCTTCCTACCATGCTTGATCATTACTCATCCTCTGTATTGGGAAATAGGAGGCTATAATCCTTAGTTCTTTCATTCAAAGGAGCAGCCACTTCCAAGCAGTTTTTCCACCTGTTTGATCTGCTGCTCACTCCTTTAAAACAATATTCAGATTGTACCCTTCTAGACTTTCTCAGCATTTGCACTAATCTTGTTTCCCAGATACCCTAAACAGAAACTTGTTAAATCACCGGCATCCTATAATTAACCTGTCTCCTGTCAGTTTCCTGGCAGTTGTGATGCAATAAAATGGGACTTGTGATGCTGATAATAGGAAGCTGTGTCAGAAAAATTCTTTGACCTTCCGGGTGCATGTTTTGCCTAAGAGTTGAGGTTTTGCTTCCCAGCTTTTTGCACAAATTTCTTAACTAAATGAATTAGTGATTTTGACTTAAGCTGCTGCCTAATCTCAAACTTAATTGTTGCTTTATTATGACAGTAGAAATAAAAACCTCTACATTAATGTGTTTATTGCTGTCAGGAACAGAGAGAAACAATACAAAAGTTTTGGTTTCCTGATTTTTTTTCCAAGAGTTATTTTTACTGTCACTACCAAGCATAATCTTTTAAAAGAAAAAAAAAAAAGACATTGATGTCAGTTGCACAAGAGTAATGGTATCCTGTTGAAGTGTTCTACAAATGCCCTTATATAATAGTCCTTTTAGAATTCTGTGCTGACCTGCATGGGTCAGCTTTTTTTTTTTTTTTTAAATCTCTGCACTAGGTACTCCTAAACTCTCTTAATAAATAGCACACGTAAAGGTAGATGACTGGTGGTTTGCTATCTCTGTTTGCCTCTCGGTGGATCACCACCTTGTAGTGGTGGAGAGGCTTGCGTGTCTCAGTGACCCCAAGAGCGATGCTGCCTGGAGTTCATGGCAGAACGGTCAAGGGCGAGGTTCCAGACAAAGTGTGATCCAAGAAGTCCCTAACAGCAGAGCAGACGGAGGATAACTGCACAATGGAGGTGAAACTGTTGTGTATTGTTACAACGGCTGTGAAGGTGGATGAAGGCTGCAGCAAATAGGGGATTTCCAATCGTCACGGTGTCCATGCCATTGGTTTCAAGTCCTCTATCTGTCAAGGGTAGTGTGGTGACTGTTGTGCACCAGTCTCCCCACTTTAAAAGAAGTCCCGCACAGGCATCTTCCAGTTTTTAGGAAAATAACATTTGCACAAGTCAAAAATCCGGTGGCAATCGGTGAGTGGCGACGGGAACAGGACAGTGAAATCCGGAAGTTCCTAGTCACAGACCAACACACAGGCGGTGGGTGTGTGATATAGTCGTCTTGCTCGAGGATTGAGGTGGGTCGAGCATCTTGGCAGCTGCATCTACGACTGAGCAGTCCTTTTTAGGATCCACTCTGCTCACCCCACATGGGGAGGGGGTTAGAAAAGGTACCCTAAAAATAGTCTTGCCTCTGTTTCTCCTGGCTGGATAGCCGCATCCAGCAGGATCATCACCTAAGCAGTTGAAAATGTAAGAAACTTTTCAACTTTGGAACTTGGAACGTACGTACCCTGATGGACAACTCAAACAGCGACCGTCCAGAGCGACGTACAGCCATTATTGCTTGTGAATTGAGTCGGTTTAACATCGATATTGCTGCTTTGTCCAAAAGTAGAAGAGCTGATGAAGGACAGGGTGAGGGAGGAGAAAGGAGAATACACCTACTTCTGGAAGGGAAAATCTATAGATGAACCCCGATTGCATGGAGTGGGCTTTGCTATAAAGAACAAGCTCGTAAGGTGCCTCTCTGAGGTACCAGTTGGCATCAATGAGCGGTTTATGAAACTCCGACTGAGACTCACCAAAAATCAACAGGCAACTATTGCAAGCGCCTATGCACCAACACTGGAAGCCGATGAGAATGTAAAGGAAGATTTTTATTCTCAGTTGGAAACCATTTTATCAGAGACCCCTACAGCAGACAAGATCATCCTTCTGAGGGATTTCAATGCATGTGTTGGACGAGACTCAGACCTGTGGAAGGGAACAACCGGGAAAGAAGGAGCTGGCAAAAGTAATTCAAATGGAA